ACAACAACAGAAAAACCTGGCACATCTGAGAAGACCATCCCAGTCCACCCCAGGAAGGCAGCTCTGGGAGGGCTGTTGTAACCCCAGAGAGCCACACTCCTCGTGAGTCCCTCCACAGGAAGCTGTGGGCGTGTGCACACAGCAAGGTGACAGGACAATACCCTACTCTTGCAGTTTCTGTCTGTTTTCTCGTCAAAGCTGCTATTGCAGCTTTGCATGTAATAGTTTAAAAACCATCGGCCGCTCTGGGAAGTCTGGCTTGAAGCAGGATTTCTGCACCCATTCTACGTTCCTGAGCTCGCTACAGAGGAGCGGAATGAGCTCTCCCTCCCGGCAACTTAGGACTTCACACGGACATGTCTCAGGCTCCTGCCCAGGACGCCCACTGCTTTTTCTTGTTCATGAGTACCCTCCCTCTCCACTTTTCTCTGACAACAAGGTGCACAATATTCCTACTGGGGCTTTCTTGGCAGGCTGGGTATGACAATAGCATCTACTTCACCAAGTGAAATGAAAACAAACAGAAAGCCCAAAACCAAAACCACACATGTGTCACTTGTGTAAAATGCATCACCAAGTGCACATCACATGCACTAACACACAGGAAGTCTGTCCTTTCATGGCCTTTAATTCTGCTGAGTGATACAGGATTATTAGAGGTAAGTGCATGGGAAAAGCCTGTGTTGCATTTTTCAGTGGAGTGGCTGGAGAAGAGTGTGGGCAAAGGGCAGATCAAAGAGCGGCCTTAAGCATGCACACTAAGGAATACCCAGGCCCACCTAAGTGTGGAGGGGGAGAAGGAGGGGATCCTGGGAGGCCATTGGCAAACCACATGGGGCCTGCAGACTCAGTCACCTGAATGAGAGGCCAGAGCTTCCGGCCACATAAGGGTGAGTGGGGAGATGGGAGGAGCCACTGAGAAAGTGGCTGGACCTAGATATCTTCTGACAGATTCAGGGGGAGGGAGGGGACAAGAAAAGAAGGGATGAGGACAGTTCTAAGTTTCCAGCCTGGCAACCAAAAGGACGGACAGACCAGTGCTAAAGGTTGGGGAAGTGGAGACCCAGGAGGAGCATTCTTAAATCACTTCGAACAGTAAGTGTATTTATATACTACAGTACTTCCGTTCAAAGTGTTAAAATAAAAACAAATGATGACAACTGATATTTAAATTAGAAGGAACTCTCTGTGCCTTCCACTCTCGTTACCCAGGGGAAAATAGGACTGAACCGTCAATACTGCCAAGACCTGAAGCACAGAATCAGTGTATGGCGTTCCTGTATTCCTGGATCGCCCTGCCGCTTCATGGACAGCGAAGAGCTATGAAGCCTGGGGAGGAGCAGGGGTGGGAGGAAGAGGGAAAGGTGTATCAAGCACACAGCCTGTAGGCTCGGAGATCCGCAAGCTGCCAGGCTGTGGCCTCACGACCACAACTCAGGACAACCTTGCGACATGAGCAGAACTGGTATTAGGGGGCACGGGTATTATACTAGAAATGGGTACTAGGAGGCACAGATATTATCAGGAGGCATGGATATTACTAGGAGGTGTGGGGATTATTAATAGGCATGCACATTAGGAGCCACAGGCATGGTATTGGGACACATGGTATTATTAATAGGCACAGCATTAGGAAGCATGAGTATTAATGCGCATGGATATTAGAAGGCACAGCTATTCATAGGCACAGGTATTATTAATACACACAGGCATTAGGACACATTGGTATTAACAAGCAAGGGTACTATTAATAGACATGGGTGTTATTAGTAGGCACGGTGTCAATAGGCACAGGTATTAGTATCTTCCTCTATAGGCAAAGAGATTGAGTATCTCCCAGATAACTGATCTACACCAACACAATTAGAAGGTCTAATAAATCTTAAAAAACTGCCTTTTCTACTGAATAAGGTGTTTGTGAAAGTCGAAATGAAAAGACTTAAACATAGTTTTAAATCTATGAAGTACTGGGCAAACTTGAGGTAACTAATACCGTAGCAAACATTGGGAATTTGCTGGTAAAGCGGTCTGGCAGTGCAGCTAGATTCTGCTCACCAGCTCTTTCCTGACAAGACACTGGGTGATGCGGTGACTTCACGGGTCCTAGCAGAGCACGCCAGAGTCCTCGACCCTAAGCACCCGGCACTGTGGAGACCTGGAGTCAGAACTCTGCACACATTCACCTAACACAGTGCAGGTCGTCTTGTCCTGAGCTATCGTAGGCAGGTGCTCTGTCTCCACAGAACCATGGGGACAGACATCGTTCAGCCAAAACCACTGAGGTACTCTCAAGAAATAAATCATTGGTTATAAAAATGACAACTTCCAGCATTATCTACAGCCCACATTTTCATTTTAGTTGTCTTTGAGGTGATTTTAGCCTAATTTTAAAAATCTCCTCTGTTTGACACAGAAATGCAGTTAGACAGGGCAAATGGGTTATGGAATGGCATGCCACAACTGAGTGAAAAAAACAGACACTGCCAACCAGACATATCTATATCCTTATCTCTCTCTATAAATAGTGAAAGAAAGGAAGAAAAACTAGTCAAGCAAAAATTAATGGTACATATCTTAATGTGGTATTCTCTGTTGAAAATGATGAACATGGTGCTACCCTGGATTTGATTATCACATACTGCAGGCATGCTCTGAAAATCCATATTACATCCCGCAAAGATGTACAAAAATCAGATATAAATAAGAAATTATATTATAAAAATACTCTCCCATTTAAATTTTGGTTACAGGTACTTATGATTTTGAAACCCAGGAAAGGTGAACAGAATAGGATTTCTAGTATTTGTGGGCACTTCAGTGAACGAAACAGCGGTTGAAAGCCTGTGATTTCACATCAGCGACAAGGATATTTTCCCCAAATCACTATTATTTGGCTAAAATCAGAAGTTGACGAGGAGGCAATAAACATGGCTCAGAATTAAACTTGGTCTACTTTTTCTTGTATTTTTAAAGTGACCCTTTGTTATTCATGTATGAGCAAAATGGAAGAGGTCACACAATCACTAAATGTCACTGAGTGTGACCTTGTGATACAAGACCAAGTTAATAGGTACAGACACATGGTATAAGTGCACACCCACGGGCCACGTCAGTGTGAATGCTGCAGCCCCTGTGGTAAGTGGGTTCAAGTTATCATTAGCTTGCATCTCACTGACGTGTTCTAGACCTGTGTGAATGGCTAACACCCATTCCACTGTATGCAATGCTTTGGAAAGCCATACTGTACTCCACCTACATATACAATGACTACACGTAAACCAGAAATCCCAATAAAATTTTTTTTGGGGAAAAATGGAGAGGTAAGACACTTGTGGGACACAGATAAGGCTTATTATTTGTTGATGAGGATGTGTATGGTGGTCTCAATGGGGCTGGACTGAAGTGTATATCATGCTGGGTAAAGTCTTCACAATCTAAATGATGTATAGTTATTTAATGTATGAATAATAATTTTTAAAAATTTTAAAAATTTTTTAAAAGACTGAAAAGAGTATGGGGGGTAGAGTCTGAGGAGCTAGCCTAATATAGGATGTGATGAGGCAAGCATTTGATTCCCCTGGGAGGAAGAGTTTCTTGGTTTAAATAAAAAGGAAAAAAAAAAGTTTTAGATGAATTGTTAAAGGAAGACCATTTTATTAAAGTCTGAAAAGCAGAATATAGAACACAAGGATCATAGACCACAGCCTTGGGAATTCGAATGTCCTTCATGTAGCTGACACAATTTTGGACTGCATACTATTTGTTTTCTCAGTGAAAAAACTACCAACCATAAAATCATTTTGTCTGCCAATCAACGGCATATGAGAAAAGAAAAGAAAACTTTCCCCGTTTATGTAGGATTTGAGACAGCCAAGAGTTTGAAGCTTAGCTTACTTATTGCTACGGCAGGAACTGGCAAACCTGCTGTGAAGGCCCAGACAGTACGTACCTGGGGCTTTGCAGGTCACGTGGATCTCTGCCACAACTCGACTCTGCTAGGCATCTCCTAAACAAGTGGGCACGGCCACGTTCCAGGAAGGTTTATGTGCAGGAACAGGCAGAGGGTAGTTTGTCACCCTGTGACTTAAGGAAGGCAATTCTTTTTGCCTAGCAAAATCAACAGGTTAAGTTGATCTCCCTCTAAAATGAATTTTCCTTACCACTGTTCTTATAACAGCATTTGTGCCATATGAAATTAAACTCATTTAGAGATGAAACCCCAAGATATTGAAAAACAAATCACGTGACTAGTTTCAAACACCCAGACACGCACTCACTCATTTCTTACAACAGTGTTGATCACGGAGGCTGAAGGGACGAAAGGACAGCCAGCCCCACTGATGATGATGAGGATCAAGCAAGCCTTTCTAGGGCCTGTTTTTAAGACTGTCTACACTGGGGTGACCAAGGACAGTGCGGATAACGCTAACCTCAGCAAAGGCACACCGTAAGCCCAATGCCCCAGCCTGTGGGACACCTGGCTATCCTAGACCTGAGCATCCACTGATGTGTCATCAAGCTATTCCAAAGCTCAGAAAACCAGTGATTTTTAAAATGCAGTCTTCTAGAGGGCAGAAAGTGAAGACAACATGAAAACCACAGGTCAACAGAGGGCATGTGCTTGGTTACAAAAACCTCACTTCATCCAGTTTGTTCCATCCTATCCTGAAATTCATCCTGAGACTAATACAACCCAGTGAAAACCTGACCAGTCAGCAAGAACAAAACATTACTATTCTATGTACCTCCAGACAGTCACACTCACTTCGAGATTACATTAAAACCAGAGAAGAGGAGAAACGTTCTTCTGACTAATGAATCTGGACAACTCCAAGGAATCCGTTCTAGCATATGAAGGAGAAATAAACTCATTCTGAAAAGATTAGGCCTTGTTTTTATTCTCATGCTCAGAACGAACTGTTAGGATCTCCAGGTCACTGTTGGCAACTTAGTTAGGACTGCTCCTGAGAACATCTGCTTTAATTGAAGTGAGCCAGTACCTCCGGATAGCCACGGTGAGGGCCTCTGGTGAGCTGGCACAGGGACAGATGACCTCCTGCCGAAGGCCTTTACTTTGGAAGACATTGAGAAATGCGTCACAAGAAGAAATAGACCCTAGAGTGAAAATGGGACAAAAATCAGACAGTTGAAATACTGTGATTGATTAAAAAATATACCATCAGATTAAAAATAGTTTTGAAATTAAGATTTAGGCAGTATAGAAAAATACTGCATTCAATATATTTGTTATTTCTCATAAAATGAAAGATATTCCCAAGCTTACAGAGCTCGATAATTTAAAAAATTCAACTTAGACGTGTTTGCTGACTTAGATGATTTTTTCTGACACATGTTCCACCATTTTCAGTATACAAGTTCTAAGAAATGGGTAAATCTAAACTAAATAAGAAAACTTTCCTCTACATTAACTTGAATGACAAGATCAAGGTATCGTTATTAGGAACCTATTAGTTAAACTAGTTCCAAATACAGATTTACCTTACTTTATGCAAGATGCATTGCTGGTTATTGGTTAAAAACAATAATTTATTAAACTAGCCATAATTTAAGGAATAATTTCATAAATAACTAAAAACAAGTTATCGGTTTGCACTTTTATATACAAAGTGTTCACGGCTTTTTTTTTTTTTTTTGAGAGGTTTTTGCCATAGGGCATGTGCACTTGCCAGAAAGAGAGAGAAAGAGAGATAGAAAGCAAGAAATCACCCCCCCCGGGGGGGGGGATGGCCACACCGCAATCCCTTCATCCCTTCTCCTCCATTCTCCTCTTGGGATCCTGGGCGCGCACGCACACGTGCCCGGCGTGAGTTTAAGCCACCAGGTCCAGGACTTGAACCGTGGTCGACTACATAGGAGTCCAGTGACATAGCCATTACGCTAACTGCTGGTCTCCAAAGTGTTTGCTGCTTTAATTAACAAATATTTATGTTGTGTTATAAATGTGGTCAAAAGTATTCTTTCCTTTAATTCACTTTCAGGCAATTGTTCTGTTCATGGCTTTATGTACTCTTCTCACAAAAAAACAAGCAAGCCAGGTTTTTGTTTCAATTGACTGAAATAATTCTCAAGGTGTATTGATAGTATTCCATGAAATTGCTAGGTTACTTTAGGTATTTTTTGTTACAAAAAATGACAAATAAATTTACTCATCAATGAAACAATTATGGAACATGAGATAGTAATAGTTACTACTCTGTGAGTGCTTACATGCCAAGGGACTGTACTAAGGGCTTTTTTCACTTAATTCTCATACCACTCTATGATGTAGGTACCATTTTATAGCTGAGAAAGGATTTTAAAAAGGAACTTTATAGAACCAAGGTATTTCTCTTAATCACAGGGCTATGTACCTTTAAGCGCCTAGTTCTTAACCATTATATGACTGTACCTTTAGGCTACAGTGAATAATACTATTTGGTTACTTTAGGACAACTTCATAGCTAAGATAAAGATAAGGAAAAGGAAAATCAAAGCACAAAGAATAAAACAAGAAAAATCAGGATCTCTATCCCCCACGCTTGTCTGTCCAGTTAACCACGGACACTTCACGTACAGGGATTTGCTCCGTCGGCCACTATTAACATCCGCAGAGAGGAGAGGTTGATGTCTCTTTGATCTCTGTGTGCTACTAGTGCCCAGTGCATGTCCCTTGACTTCACACAGGCCACTTTTGCTAAAAAAAAAAAAAAAAAAAAAAAGGCAGAAGTTAATACATGCTACCATCAGAGTCAGACTGTCTGATACCAAAAAAAGAGGTAATCTCAATGATTGGGTCAAGAATTGGTCAATAACAGTGGTTAATGGTCATTTGTCACCAAATACCCCTGAGCCACTGTGGAAACCAACCTTTGTACTGGCAGACCTTCTGGATCCAGGAGAGGGGGTTCACCTTCATCAGCGAGTACGGGATGCTGATCACGTGCATCATGTTCATGACACTCTGAAATCCATGAGCAAACACACATGCAAGAGGTAAACAAAGCAGCTATGGACAGAGGAGGAGAAGGTTCATCCACCTCAGGGCTAAAGACAAGTAACCCAAGGCTTGGCTGGCAGGAAACAGACACCAGAGGCTGCCACACTGGCCCCTGAGGCGCGGAGTTCGAGAGAGCTTTCTTAGGGTGAGTGGGGTGCAGTGGCACTGGTGTGTATCTTGGTGGAAAGAATCCTTAAAAAAGAATCAGAGGGAAAGTGATTTCCAAAAGTTGCCTCATCCCCTCTGCTGCTGGTCTGCCCAAACTACGCCGGACAGAAGACTGAGTCCACATCTCATAAAGTGAAACCATTAGTTGCATGAGCATCATTTTTAATGACCTTTCATGTTCTTGTAGACCTTTCTAGTCTATTACACTAATTTTTTATTTCATGAAAATGTATCTAGCTAATTAAATGTTAACCCAGAAATAGACAAAGAAAAGGAACCTAAGTAATGTTCAGTCTCCCATCCAGTCCTAGACCCTTAAAAGAGCTACTGCTTCGAAACAGATGACCAAAATACCCTTAAATCCAAACAGTGAGTTCCTGCCTGCTGTGGCTAGGGCTTGCACACTTGCACAGGCATTGATTTTGTGCAACATACACTGCCTCCAACTTTGCAGTCACAGGGGCTACGGGCAGTGAGTGTCAGACCAAGTCTTCTTTGGTTGGCTTTGTGTTAGGATTTTTGTAGGCAACTGGGCAAGAGGACAGGATAAGAGGGCACAGACCATTCTAGCAAGCTCTTGGTTCAATCATGAAACTCTAAATGGAAGAAAACATACGCCTTCCCTACCATGATTGAGCTTGGTGCCTACCAGCTCCTCCCATCTACACTAGCATGTCCCGCTTGCTGCAGCTTCCTCCCTGTTACCAGAGTACCTTTCAGAATGATGCTGCTACAGAGTGTGTGTTGCTACCTGGTCAGAGACTTGTCTTGCTCTAGAACCTGGTGGCAAAAGAAATTCAAACAGCTAATTCCTGCCAGCAGTGATCCACAGCAACAGTAGCCATTGGGACAACAGTATCAACCAAGGAGCCACTTCCCAGGAGGTAAGGCCACTACAGAGCTTTAGAGAGCAGGGCTGACAGGGATGACCTTACTCTTACAGGCATTCTAATAACAGGAGTGAACCACAGTAACAGCAGCTTTCTGTTCTTGAAGAAGTGATCCTTGAAACTCACACATCAAGCATGCAGGGGGACACTGGTTATTAAACATTGGGCCACATAATTCTCACCCCACACCTATCAGATAGGATTGCCATTTTCACTTGACAGAGAGAAAATTGAGGTTCAGAGGTGTGGCGATAATTTCATTGTGCACAAGTGCCCACTAAAGCACAAAGCTATCAAAGGCAGGAGTGGGACATGAACCCAGCCCCCTAATCCCAAAGCTAGAGCTTTTTTACTACTCTCACACACCTCTCTTGCCAGCATTTAGAGTTGCATCTCTGTATCTTATCACCCAGTGTATCTAGATTTCAGAGACCTTCCACGTCAGGGAAATAAGCCAGCAGGTCTGTAGCCACAGAGATGTGGTCGAGGATACAGTTATGTGCTTCCTCCTGCTTGTACAAATGCTGGCTTATGAAGAAGCAACACACCCCACTGTCTACATTTATATTCCTATCACTCATTTAAAAAAGAAATTACTAGCATTTTCTACTTCAGAAAAGACAGTTTCAGCATAGGAAACTATTAAAATATGAATGTGTGAAAATTATCACATGTGAGACAGACGTGAGGAGATTATAAGTTATGCGCCACATATTTTTGAGTGCCAGCTGCATCTTAAACAAATAGTAAGCTTAGTCCTCTGTTAGAATTGCCCACAGCCTGACACTGCCATCATCTGACAAGTGGCCCTGACAATAATAAGACAACATCTCCCTTCAACTCAAGCTGAATCTTCAGCTGCAAGGGCAAATCCATAAAATACTTTTTACCTATAGAATAATAGACTAGTAGATCCCCTAAATACTCACCGACACTGACTCACAGGAAGAAAAACAAAAAAACAAAAAACCAAAAACACCAAGGCATCCATAACATAACTAAGAAATCTCAAATGCCAAAAGCAGGGGAAGAAAGACACTGAACTTCATTTGAGCATTAAAAATGCTCCTCGCAGCAGCCAAAACCTCGATATGTAGGTCTAGGAGTTAAGTAAGTTATAGAGGGTGAAACTAATGGTCTCTGTTGTGCTATTTGCAAGCTGCATTAGGGGACAATATAAAGCTCCTGGCAATCATGAGTTTGTTACAGCACAGGGACAAGGACTTTTGCAAGCTGATACACACATGGCACATACTCATGTGTCGGTAGCCACAGCAAGGCAAGGAGGGCAGGGGCCTCACTTACTGTCAGGATGCCGTGCCAGAGACCCACATCCTTCTTGAAATCCAGCACATTCACGATGGTTTCGGCTGTGCAATAAAAAGTAAGAAGATTTTTACTTATGATAAGTGGCACAAAGCAAAGTGCAAAGAAAATCCAACATCACATACGGGTAATAACAGATCTTGGAAAAAATATCACTTCACTTTATCTCTGCAGAAATTCTACAGCTTCCTATGGGCTATTTAAAAGTGCTGTCCAACCTGAGAGTGTTTCTAGATGAATATCCTGACACATAAATGGACAGCAAAAGCCTCCCACACTATCATTTAAAATGTCTTATTCTCTCTCTGCCTATATATTTATTTCCCCCCTCCCTGCCTTTCTCATTTTCCATTTTCCCCATGTGGACCAGGGAGGGAGAAGCATGGCTTGTTTGGAGGAGGAAACCAGTTTGGGGCAATGGAGGGGACTGTGCTGATCTTATGGACATCTGTGAGGGTGGGGTTGGGGGAATAAAGCAGGTAAGTGACTATGGAAAGACAGCAATGGGGTTAGTATTTAAGGATTACAGGGGGCACTGAAAACAGTTATTATTATGGGCACTGAAAATGATTATTATCATGGAAGATAGAAACCAAGTGGAGTGCCAGCCACTGACAGTGCTGACTTCCTTCTGAAGCCAGGGAGTTGAGCAACTGCTTCAGCTGCCTACGCATGGCTCCAACACGCCTCTGCTCATGGCCCTGGGCATGTGTCAACACCTCGTCCTACGTTCCCATGTGTTCCTTCTGGGCACACTTGCCAAAGGCTCAGTATTATACCCCCACTACCCTTTCATAGTTTAAAATACAGAGGGCAAAAAATAGACAAGTGGGATTACATTGAACTAAAAAGCTTCTGCACAGCAAATGAAACAATAAGGGGTTAGTATTTAAGGATTACAGGGGGCACTGAAAACAGTTATTATTATGGGCACTGAAAATGATTATTATCATGGAAGATAGAAACCAAGTGGAGTGCCAGCCACTGACAGTGCTGACTTCCTTCTGAAGCCAGGGAGTTGAGCAACTGCTTCAGCTGCCTACGCATGGCTCCAACACGCCTCTGCTCATGGCCCTGGGCATGTGTCAACACCTCGTCCTACGTTCCCATGTGTTCCTTCTGGGCACACTTGCCAAAGGCTCAGTATTATACCCCCACTACCCTTTCATAGTTTAAAATACAGAGGGCAAAAAATAGACAAGTGGGATTACATTGAACTAAAAAGCTTCTGCACAGCAAATGAAACAATAAATAGATAACCCACAGAATGGGAGAAAATACTCATGAACTTTCCTTCAGATAAGGGATTAATAATCAGAATATATAGGGAATTCAAGTAGTTTACCTACTGAAAAACTAACAATTCAATTAAAAAATGGACACTAGATCTGAATAGATATCTCTCAAAAAAGGACATACGAATGGACAAAAACCATATGAAAAAATGTTCAACATCTCTCTCCATAATGGAAATGTAATCAAAACCACAATGAGGTATTATTACCTAACCCTAGACAGAGGGCTATGATAATGATAATGATAATAATAATAATAAAAGAACAAGTGCTGGCAAGGCTGTGGTGAGAAGTGTGATGAAAAGGCAATCTTCCTGCACTGTTGGCAGGAATGTAAATTAGTACAGCCACGGTAGAAAACAATATGGAGGTTCCTCAAAAATTTACAAATAGAACTACCATATGACCCAGTGATTCTGTTCCTAAGTATTTACTTGAAGAAAAGGAAAATACTTAGTTGGAAAGATACCTGCACAAACACATTTACTGCAGCATTATTCACAAAAGCTAAGATAGGGAATCAACCTAAGTGTCTAACAGCTGATGGCTGGATTAGAAAAATGTGGCACATATACACCATGGAATGCTACTTAGCTGTAAAGAACAAAGAGAGTCTGTCATTTGATACAAAGTGGTCAGATCTAGAATATATAATTCCAAGTGAAATAAGCCAGATTATGAAAGCCAAACATAGTTTGCACGTATTCACTCACTCTATATTAAATGTCTGTGCTCTGTGGCAGAAATGGAAAGATTTGAAAACAGAAAACTAAAGGGAACAACTCTAGATACCACAGTCTGCATAGGGGTTGGGACATGAGGAGGGATAGGAAGGTATCAGGAAAAGAGCATTTCACAGACATAGGAATGCAGGGATGGGACAAATAGGTTGGCATATCACAAATGAGTGATAAAAACAGACACTTTCAATCTTATACAATTAACAGTACACATCATACTGTATCCTTTGTTGAAATGATGAATATAGTATTATCCTTGATTTTTGTGCACTGCATGCATGTTTGAAGAATTCATATATATATATATATCACAGAAAGATGTATGACAATGAAATGTTAATAAGAAATTATGAAATAGGAAAAAAATATGGATGGTAAACAGATGAACTTTCAAAATAAACATGCTTGAAGGAAACATTCCAGATGCCGTTTTATAAAAGTATTATTTTTCAGTAAAAATAATGAGTAAATACCTATATGTATATCTATATCTAAATATTCCTTCCCAATTCCACAGCAGTGACAGCCCTGGGCCTATAAGACATAGGGCCAGGGAATGCAGGTCATGAGCTATGAAAAATAGAGTGGTGGTGATTATGGGCAGCATGCCTCCAAGCCTGGAAAAGGTACAGGACCACACACAAGTAGAATAGCTCCACCAACAGGTGCACTGTTTTTGTTTGTTTGTTTGTTTGTTTGTTTTAACAAGAAGGATTATCAGAAGGATGAGGAGAGAATATAAGCTGGAAAAAGTGTTTCATTCCAAAGTGGAGCAACAGGTTCAGACTGAGATGCTGTGTGGTGGGTGCCTTCTGTAACCCTGTAAGGGTACTTGAATATGGGAGCAACACACCAGGAGCAAAGACGACAGTCTTGGTGATCTGCTTTAACCTGTCCTTTTCTATGCTCAATTCAGGTTATTACCATGGCTGTGTCTATTTCTTCTTTGCCTCCTGTAACTATCACATTCAGGAGGAAGAAAATACACCATGAAAAGCAATTGTTATCACCTCCCCCACAGAGCTCCCACACTCAGATATTATGATGCACTTGGTAGGGGTGGGCTGAATGAAACATGAGTTTTGTTTTGCTTTAAGGTTTTTGCCATAGGGCGTGTACTTGCCAGAAAGAGACACAGAGAGGGAAAGTGAGAAATCGCCCCTGGGAGGAGGGCCACACTGCAGTCTTTTCTCCATTCTCCTCTTGGGATTTTGGTCTTGCACGCACACACACCTGGCGTGATTTTGAAGTCTCTAGGTCTGGGATTCAAACTGCGGTTGGTCATGTGGGAGTCCAGTACCTTCACCAAATCACCTGCAGGTCCTGTTTTATTTTTATTTATATAAAACAAATTCCTAAAGAGAGAGTGATGTGCTGGCAGGGATGGACACCTATGGTGTTAGCTAAATGTTCTGGACATTATGTCCCCAAATTCATGTATTAATGTCCTAGTGCCCAGTATGACTAAATAGGGTCTTTCTGTTTTTGTTTAAGAGAGAGATTTTGCTATAGGGTGCGTGTGCTCGCCAGAGAAACAGAAAGTGAGAAATCAACACTTCCCCACCCCCTGAGGGGATGTCCACAACACAACCCCTTCTCTTCCAGTCTGCTCTTGAGATTTTGGGCATGCACACACGCACGCATGGTTTGAGTTTTTTAAGTCACCAGGTTTGGGACTTGAACCACAGTTGACCAAGTGGAAGCCCAATGACATAACCATTGTGGCATCTGCTGGTCCCAATGAGGCCTTTAAAAAGGTAATTAATGTTAAATCAAGTCATATAAATGGGCCCCAATTGGCATCCTAATAAGAAGAGGAAGATCTCTCTCTCTCTCCCTCCTCTTCTAGCATGGTAAAGGACCCAGCAAGAATGGGTACTCTGCAAACCAGGAATCAAATCCTCACCAGTGACCAACCCACAGGCATCCCGATTTTGAACTTCCAGCACCCAGAAATGTGAGACCATAAATGCCTGTTGTTTAAGCTGCCAGGTCTAGGTTGGGGTATTTTGTTAGAGCAGCCTGAGCTGACACACTCACTCCACCATTTGGAAGCTGACATTTAACTGAGAAGGACACAAATCTCTCAAAAAAGGACATACGAATGGACAAAAACCATATGAAAAAATGTTCAACATCTCTCTCCATAATGGAAATGTAATCAAAACCACAATGAGGTATTATTACCTAACCCTAGACAGAGGGCTATGATAATGATAATGATAATAATAATAATAAAAGAACAAGTGCTGGCAAGGCTGTGGTGAGAAGTGTGATGAAAAGGCAATCTTCCTGCACTGTTGGCAGGAATGTAAATTAGTACAGCCACGGTAGAAAACAATATGGAGGTTCCTCAAAAATTTACAAATAGAACTACCATATGACCCAGTGATTCTGTTCCTAAGTATTTACTTGAAGAAAAGGAAAATACTTAGTTGGAAAGATACCTGCACAAACACATTTACTGCAGCATTATTCACAAAAGCTAAGATAGGGAATCAACCTAAGTGTCTAACAGCTGATGGCTGGATTAGAAAAATGTGGCACATATACACCATGGAATGCTACTTAGCTGTAAAGAACAAAGAGAGTCTGTCATTTGATACAAAGTGGTCAGATCTAGAATATATAATTCCAAGTGAAATAAGCCAGATTATGAAAGCCAAACATAGTTTGCACGTATTCACTCACTCTATATTAAATGTCTGTGCTCTGTGGCAGAAATGGAAAGATTTGAAAACAGAAAACTAAAGGGAACAACTCTAGATACCACAGTCTGCATAGGGGTTGGGACATGAGGAGGGATAGGAAGGTATCAGGAAAAGAGCATTTCACAGACATAGGAATGCAGGGATGGGACAAATAGGTTGGCATATCACAAATGAGTGATAAAAACAGACACTTTCAATCTTATACAATTAACAGTACACATCATACTGTATCCTTTGTTGAAATGATGAATATAGTATTATCCTTGATTTTTGTGCACTGCATGCATGTTTGAAGAATTCATATATATATATATATCACAGAAAGATGTATGACAATGAAATGTTAATAAGAAATTATGAAATAGGAAAAAAATATGGATGGTAAACAGATGAACTTTCAAAATAAACATGCTTGAAGGAAACATTCCAGATGCCGTTTTATAAAAGTATTATTTTTCAGTAAAAATAATGAGTAAATACCTATATGTATATCTATATCTAAATATTCCTTCCCAATTCCACAGCAGTGACAGCCCTGGGCCTATAAGACATAGGGCCAGGGAATGCAGGTCATGAGCTATGAAAAATAGAGTGGTGGTGATTATGGGCAGCATGCCTCCAAGCCTGGAAAAGGTACAGGACCACACACAAGTAGAATAGCTCCACCAACAGGTGCACTGTTTTTGTTTGTTTGTTTGTTTGTTTGTTTTAACAAGAAGGATTATCAGAAGGATGAGGAGAGAATATAAGCTGGAAAAAGTGTTTCATTCCAAAGTGGAGCAACAGGTTCAGACTGAGATGCTGTGTGGTGGGTGCCTTCTGTAACCCTGTAAGGGTACTTGAATATGGGAGCAACACACCAGGAGCAAAGACGACAGTCTTGGTGATCTGCTTTAACCTGTCCTTTTCTATGCTCAATTCAGGTTATTACCATGGCTGTGTCTATTTCTTCTTTGCCTCCTGTAACTATCACATTCAGGAGGAAGAAAATACACCATGAAAAGCAATTGTTATCACCTCCCCCACAGAGCTCCCACACTCAGATATTATGATGCACTTGGTAGGGGTGGGCTGAATGAAACATGAGTTTTGTTTTGCTTTAAGGTTTTTGCCATAGGGCGTGTACTTGCCAGAAAGAGACACAGAGAGGGAAAGTGAGAAATCGCCCCTGGGAGGAGGGCCACACTGCAGTCTTTTCTCCATTCTCCTCTTGGGATTTTGGTCTTGCACGCACACACACCTGGCGTGATTTTGAAGTCTCTAGGTCTGGGATTCAAACTGCGGTTGGTCATGTGGGAGTCCAGTACCTTCACCAAATCACCTGCAGGTCCTGTTTTATTTTTATTTATATAAAACAAATTCCTAAAGAGAGAGTGATGTGCTGGCAGGGATGGACACCTATGGTGTTAGCTAAATGTTCTGGACATTATGTCCCCAAATTCATGTATTAATGTCCTAGTGCCCAGTATGACTAAATAGGGTCTTTCTGTTTTTGTTTAAGAGAGAGATTTTGCTATAGGGTGCGTGTGCTCGCCAGAGAAACAGAAAGTGAGAAATCAACACTTCCCCACCCCCTGAGGGGATGTCCACAACACAACCCCTTCTCTTCCAGTCTGCTCTTGAGATTTTGGGCATGCACACACGCACGCATGGTTTGAGTTTTTTAAGTCACCAGGTTTGGGACTTGAACCACAGTTGACCAAGTGGAAGCCCAATGACATAACCATTGTGGCATCTGCTGGTCCCAATGAGGCCTTTAAAAAGGTAATTAATGTTAAATCAAGTCATATAAATGGGCCCCAATTGGCATCCTAATAAGAAGAGGAAGATCTCTCTCTCTCTCCCTCCTCTTCTAGCATGGTAAAGGACCCAGCAAGAATGGGTACTCTGCAAACCAGGAATCAAATCCTCACCAGTGACCAACCCACAGGCATCCCGATTTTGAACTTCCAGCACCCAGAAATGTGAGACCATAAATGCCTGTTGTTTAAGCTGCCAGGTTGTGGTATTTTGTTAGAGCAGCCTGAGCTGACACACTCACTCCACCATTTGGAAGCTGACATTTAACTGAGAAGGACACAAACTTAATAATACTTTTGCAGTTAGTGGTAATAGTCTCCCTCTCAGGTGCCCCTGGTCAACATGGCATTTTGCAGAACCATGGTCTCAAGGGGTCATGAGAAGGGGCTGTCCATACCTTCTGTGTAGCCGCATGCCTGTGTCAAAGCCTGGCAGTGCGTCAGCAGCGCAATCCTCGTCACAGTCACGCCAAGCACGCTCCCATCCTTACACGTCTTGTACTGAAATGAGAGAGAAAACGAGGAAGAGTGGTAGCAAGAGGCAAAGTTCTGATCCACATCCATCCGCCCTTCTGTTAATAGTTACCTGAGATGCTTTGCGTTCTTTACTTCTGGAGCTTGTGTGACCATCAGAAATGCATGTTAATTCCCAAAGTACACACCCCAGCCCGATCCAGGGGAGGGAGACATGCGTGGCTTACCTCAATATAAGCAGTGTCATTATTTGCATCTTTAATGTGTGGGAACCAATCTCGAGGAGGCTTTGAGAGGTGTTTTGACTCTGTGACGAACCACAGTAGCTTTGGCCAACCTTGGAAATAAAAAACAAGTTCCTTGTCAGTAAATGCTACCCAGAAAATATTAATAGGTCTATAGCATTTCTCTCTCCATCCACATGCCATGCTTTCAAATGCCACATCGAGCCGGACTGAATCTTTCTGGTTTTCATCAAATCTTGGACATCGACAAGAAAGCACCCAAGCCACCACCTTCAATCATGTCACCCCAAAGGCTGATAACCTGCAACTTGTTGTCAGAGACATTAACGAACGAAAAGCTGTGTGCCTCCACGGAAGCAACAGTGTGAACTCCACTGATTAAGAGCCTGTGTCCTGACAGAAGGATGCAGGGGAAATGAGGGAGTGCTCAAGGGCCTCGGCATACCTTTAAACTGTGGGATCTCTCCTGTCGGGCTTTTTGGTAGTCCTTTGTGACAAGCGTCGCTAGTCAAGGCTACAGTAACGCCACAGCTTCCAAGCAAGAAACCTATCTGCTGGCTCCCTGCGTCCTGAGAGAGGGTGACAAAGAGAGAAGAGGTAAGAATCCAAGACATGGCTCCACTCCTGGCACGACACTGCTTTGCCTTAGGTACTGGGGACGCGAACAAAGCTCTGCAGTCCCTTCTCTCTTTGTGAACAGCTACTAGCTCAGGGGCATGGACTTTGAAGTCTGCGCAACTGGGATCCAATATCAGTCCTGTTGCCCACTAGCTCCGCAAACTTAACCAGGTTAGCTAGCTTGCCTGGCCTCAGTGTCCTCATTTGTAAAACAGGGCTAAGAACGGCATTCTCATCAGTTTGTTGAGAGGGATAAATGTGAAGGACAGCAGAAAGTGGTCAGCACATGGCTAGTACATTCACTGGGTCTTATTAAAAGGTTGCTTGTATGTTTCCCTCCAATAAGACCGTGATTATAATTATTACAGTAGAGACAAAAGGACCCAAGAAAACAATATATACCCAATACACGAATACCAAGTGCTTGCATTTTGTAACACTCAAAGACCACAGAAGCAGATACATCTGGTGCACTAGGGGAACTTCCTCAACCAAAGGGACGCGATCCACCTTTTCTTCACGTCATGCCTCAATGAAATAACTGATACGTATGGCTGAAATCACTGGAGGGCACAGACTCTGCAGACACAAAGCACGGGAAGCTTCCAAGTTGCCAGCACTGATACGGAATGTGGTCCTCAAGCAGACCCTGCATGTGAGACTCTCCCTAGTTGCAGCAGCAACAGGAACCACTGGCCCATGCAAGATTATTGCTCACGTGCCCAGCCACCCCACAGGAAGACAACTGACCGCAAAATCAGCCCAATTCACTTTCCCTATTCCCATCAGCCATACCAGTGATAATGATTTGCAATTATATGATTCAGGAAATAAAATAAAAGCCCCCAAAGTAGTCAGCATGCCTAGAACGAAAAATGCCACAAAATTGCAGCAAATTGCAGTGAATTAGTCCCATCTCTCCATTCCTAGATGGTTTGGTATGAGCCATGCACACCTGGTCACTGCTGTGGACCAGAGACCTGGCTCACTGGCTTTGCCTACTGAATCTTGTTACGGGAACAGAGAACACCAAACATAGTAATCTCTCTGCGTAAACTCAGCAGCATTAAATTTTCAAAGCTGTGTTCATTTAAGTGTTTAGTTCATATTTTCCTCATTGTAGATTTCTATCAACAGTGAAGACATTTCTCTTTATATGAAATTTTCATGAAGTCATGGTGACAACCCAACTTGTACACCTGACACTGTCCTGAGTGGGGAACGGAGATCTGCCACTCTGTGGAAGGGACAATCCCCATCTGGGACACTCCCTTGCGATACTTTTCCCACTGACTGTGCTCTTCTCAGTGAAGTCATAAAGCAAAGTTACTTTAATGAGAATCTGAACATCACATAAGAAAACATGCAACTCTGTAGAGATGAGGGTGGACAAAAGAGCGACACTAATTTTTGCAGCTCAAAGCAGTGCTTTTCTGAGTGTGCAAATACTGGGCTCCACTGAGAGGCATATACAGAGGGAAAGCTGGGGTCAGGGTTACCCACAGCTGAGGGCAGAGGCCTCAGCCTCGCGGCTAGGAGCCCTGCCTGCCTCAACCTCTGTCTTAACACATACATATGATTAAATCCCCCCAAATTAAAATCATGTACAAGGAAAAGATTAGAAAGCCATAGGAGAAAGAAAGGAGCTGAACAGATGCTACTGCAGTTAGCATGAAGTATAGGCCTCGCACCTGCTCCTTCCTTCACCTAAAAAGTTCCAGAAAGGTCCCCAAGATGTCAGCTCTTCAGGAACAGCTCTGACACTTACATTCCTGACACTAAACACCATGTTGGGGGCCAGCCCATCTGCCCAAGGCCCCACACACTTGCCACAGAGAATGTGGAACAAGCAAATAGAATTCTAAACCCACTGGCACTGGAAGTGGATGACCCTGAGGACAGCCTGAATGCCTACACCCATGCTGGTGGCAAAGCTTTCCATGACCCACAAGGTTGACATTCTGTTCTTAGAAAGGTGGCACCTGCCTCCAACTGGCTGGATTTGAAGGATGACTCAGAAATAGCTGCTGTATCAGGAAGAAAGTGAACACAGAAATTCTTCCAGGAGCATACTCTGACCTTGACATCTTTTCCAGATGTTTTCCCCTGGACCAAGCCTATTTCTGGCTGAAGTTTCATTCAGGTACAAGCTATACAGTGTATGGCAAGAGGATAGGTGGGTCATGTCCATGCTGCATCTATCACCTCCTCTGAAGACCTGTCCCTCAAGGTCTGCAGACAACCAAGTCCTCCATCACAAAATCTCATGAGTAATTCATTTTGGGGGCCAGCAGGTGGCATGGTGGTTAAAGGTGCTGGACTTTTATATGGCTGACCGCAGTTCAAGTCCTGGACCTGGTGGCTCAGTTTCTCACTCCCGTCCCCCCCTCTCTCCCCCTCTGGTCAAATTATAAATAAAATAAAATAATTCTTTATAAATAAAAATGATTTTTGCTGGATCAGCCAGGTTGCATGGACGTTAAGGCAGCTGGATCCCACATGGCTGGCTGTGTGGGTGGAGTCCCAAAGGATTGCAGTATGGCCATCACCCTGGGCGGGGGAAGGAACGGTGCAATTTCTCACTTTCCCTCTCTCCGGTGAGCACATGTGCCATATGGCAAAATTTAAAAAAAAGGGGGGGGGGCAAAAAGAAATTCATTTTGCCCTTTAAGAAAACCTGTACTGAACTTGAGTTCAACCTTTCTCTCATTGTCAATATTTCTCCAGTATATACAAAGTTGCCTAATTATAACACTTTTTAAAAAGTTCTTCCTTGCATAAGTCTTTCTGGCCCAAACTCCTTGAGCTGTCATATTGAATAGCCCATTGTGGACATGTCACGCAAACATCATCTACCCATGCCTGTCCAAACTTTAGTTAGAAAGCATCAATCATTCACAAGGGGATTCACTCCCTAATAAATGTGAAGCAAGCACATCCAAAGACAGCTCTGTCTTACACATTCTGCATTTGTGGCCCCAAAACGACTCATTAGTGTTTACCCAATTTCATTCTCTGCCTACCCAAATTTCCAACTTAAGTTTGCTAGCTCTCAGGAAGTGCTATAAGATGAAAAAAATGGAATGGAGAGACAGACTATAAATATTGGGTCATCAAAAAATTCATGATGCATTTTTGCATAGAAAAACAGAAAAATAGGTCATGACTTTTCTGATGATCCAATACATTATTTTGTAGAATCAACACAAAACACCATAGACAGTAAGTTTTAGACAATTACCATCACAGAAACAGGCAGATCAAGGAAACTGACAAGGAATTTTTCTTATCCATACCAACATGAACTTGTTCATTCATATACTTTTCACTAATTAATTTTAAACTATATTTATGATAGAAATTTTCAAGTGCACACAGAGATACAGAGAAAAGGAGAAAGAAATTCCATGAGTGCATTCTAGTATCAACTATTTTCAACATCCAGCCAATTTGGTCTAATCTATTACCATCGGTACACACATATTTGCACATGCATGCACCCAGGCAGGGTGCATGCATACACATGTGTACCCCTTGTCCACCTTCACAGACACACAGGCACATGCACATACATGCACATGAAACCCACACACACGTCACATGAGCCCATGTGCTCCCACATACACACACATCCTTACACACTGGAATCTCTGTAAACAAATCCCAGATGCCAGCCGTATCATTTAGCCAGACACTTGAGTCTGGAGGATGTCCTCCCTAGGGGGCTCCTCCCCACACCGGGAAACAGCTTCTCCTTCCCCTTCCTTAACACTACCCTTTTTTCGCTCCATGCCTGGTTCCCAAAGTCTCCAGCAATTTCCTTTATCAGACGTGCTGCCTAGGAAGGATCACATGACCATTCGCATATAGTCATATTATAACCACGTGATGAGATACTGATGTCATTCCTTCTAAGGGCACTTCACTTTAGCAAGACATTTGGAAACCTTTACTGAACCAAAGAATAAACATTAGCCTTCTCAGGAAGCAATAGCTACCAGTGTGGAGAGAGACCCTCCTTCTGAGCCTGAAGCTCAGATAGCAGCCTTGGGCCTGACCTGTAGCTGCCCAGGCATTAACAGATCACTGGATGTGGATGCACCTGGGCCTGGTGGCACCCACACCTTCTGGCCCAACAGATCTGTTCTGTCCTATGGTCTTTTGAATACACACAGCTCAATTCCCTCCTAACACCTTTCTGGCTCTCATATTGGCCTCATTAATCACCCAGATGACCTATCCCTTATGGCAGGGCCTGGGGTCCTCAGAGGAAAATTCCAACCCAGCAAAAGCACCTTGTCAACAGTCAAGCATCAGGGACAGGTTCTGCCACCTTTGGGGACAGTGACCACTCCACTTTCACTTGACAAACATATGATTGGTTCCCTTGCCTCCCATCAAACTATTTTATAAACACCAATTTCTGCTACCATAAGTTCATTAAGTGAAAAATGAGTTTTTCTCTCTTATCTCAAAGATTAGAGAATATATAAGTGTACTGGGGAATAAACTGTTTAGTTAGGCTCAAAAAATAATATTTAGGATTCAGGAAATTAGCTCTCATTTAAACGTATTTAATTTTATTTATTATTATTACTGTTAATTTCCTATAGTGCACATATGGTCACTAGAGCAAGACAGAGACAAAGACAGAGACAGAGAGAGAGAGAGAGAGAGAGAAAGTGGGGAAACAAGCTACCATGTCTGAGACTCAAACTGCAGTCGACCATGTAGAAGTCCAGCACTTTAGCCACTATGCCACCTGATGGCCTGTAGGGTCTCTATTTTAAGACAGTTCTAGTGCCTACAGAACTGGGAGACAGAAAATTCATTAGGACTTGAAGCCTGGTCTGGGCAGGCCTCCTTAGGTGAACCCACGCTCAGGGCCTGGGAACAACTTTGGGACTTTTGCCACACTGTTGCCCATTGCTCCGGCAGCCTGGGCTAGCCC